CACACACACACACACACACACACACACACACACACGCAAAGATGGCAAAAGATAAAATTGTTAAGTCCTAATTAAATAAATCTGTTAAAATTAAATTCCACAATTTGAGCAAGTATTTAATTAACTTTTGATTCATTGTTTCAAGAGGTATAAAGTTGTCTCTAATTCATTACACTTCTAAAGAAGCGACCAAATGCTGCAAGTTCTTTTTCTTTTTCTTGTTTTTTTTTTTTTTTTTGCAGCACATGAAGAATTTAAAGTGTGCATTTCACAAAACATTAAACAATTTCATTAAAATCTTACATGTGCTTTTAGCAGCTACACAAAACAGACTCTTAATGTGGCCACTTTTATTGACAAGGTTTTTAGTGTCCTAACTGGATAATTATTCCACAAACACAGCAGAAATGGTCACTTAACAGTTTAATTCTGGTGCTCAGTAAGCGCCTTCTTTCTCTTACTCTTTTTTTCCCAATTAGTCTTCAGTGTCTGCAGCTGTGTGTGGAAATATGTGTGTATGCACTGAGCTGCAGTGAATGGGTGTATAAACTCCCTTTTTACTCATGTGTGGATGTTTGTTTTTTTATTTTTTATTTTTTACTCTGAGAATGGAATGTGTGTGCGTGCACGTACGGGGTTAGAGCTTCTGTGTGTGTGCATCCTCGTGTCATTTGTAGCTGTGAGATGAGCTCTTTGATCTAGAGAGCAAAAAATGCTACGAGCAGAGCCGCCTGTCAGAGTCTCCTGCTCATCGGTCAAGGACACATGCGTACACACATGTGCCTGCATCTCAAGCAGGCGCACGGAGACGGTGCAGCAGTAGCTTGTAGCGGGGTCCGTGACCTGCAGAAGAGGAACAGGGAGGCTGCATTTCCTTCACGGTTCGATTCTGTGTTGCTGCTATCTTTGCTGAGTCCAGAGGTTTGGTTTTAACTCTGAGTTTTCACGAACCAAGCCAGTGTGCTGCTGATCTGTATTTGGTATTTGATCATTTGTTTCTATCGTGGCCCGACTGGTTCCAGATGTTACCGGAGGGCTCAGGTCCACTGTTTTTTTAATGAGGCGGTCTTAGTGGCCCATTACTGGTCTCCAGTGACACGTAAACAAATAAGCAAAAGCTGCTTCTGGCTCCAAATCACACAAAAGTGTTGGTGTTTTATCATCCCAGTCATTATTTTAGGGGTTTGCATATAAAAGAATAGCCTTTTAAAGTAAAACTAAACTAAAAGTAGTTATCTTTTAAAAGAAGATAGGATTTTAAAATACAACTCACATCTTGCTCTGTAAAATTTGCTATTATAAAATAAATACTACTTATATTATGCACTTGCATTGATTGTGGTCACTTTTCTTTGTGCTAATGAGACACCATGCCCATGTGGACTAATGTTTTGGATTTTATTATTCTCTGCTGCACTGTGCTCTTCTTCAGATTGTATAAAATCCACTCACTGGTGTCTGTGGTGTCATACTGGGAGTCTTTTTGCAGCTCATATATGTCCACCTCCACTCGGGCTCGGGCCGGGCCCTCGAACACACTGTTGATGTTCTCCCTGGCCAAGGCCAGCGCCAGCCGCTCCCCACGCCCACACACAGATTGGTCATCCAGAATTGCCGCTAGAGAGAAAAACAGAGAGAATAGAAGGATGGAGAGAAGGAATGTCAAACCAGCAAAGAGGAAAAAAACATGACAAGACATAGAAATTTTAAACAAGCTTGTCGGTGTATAAATGTTCAGTCTAATGAATCACCACCGCTGACTGGCAGCAGAATGAGGGGATTTGCTCATGCTCATTTGGTACACAGCTGGAAATTTTGAATTACAAAAGAAATCCAAAGGATATATAACACATATGCTTATTTACTACCTTTTTAAAAGCCGCGTGGAAAGACTGAAACCGCCTTGATGCCTGTGTGTGAAATGTAAGGCTGCAGCTTGACTGACAGCTCAGAACAGCAAATATTTGGACAAACGGGAGCCGACAGTCATCTTGTTTGTTCTTTCACTAATGAAAAGTTCTTAAAGCTTTCCAGGTTGACAGTAATTTGTGTCTAACATTTAAAAAATGTATTCAGTGCATGTTAAAACAGTGCAATAAGAATGCAAACACGCTTTTAGAGCAGTTGGGGGTATTTAGTATGAAATTATACATAAATATTCAGAGGCTTCACTTAGCATTTTCTTTGAAAGTCTCCCCTGATCTTCTTTCCAAAAATGTTTAAGCTCATCTAAGCTGCATGAGAACTATCAAAGGAAAACTATTGCTGGTTGCAAAGTTCAGACCCAGACCGGTGTTAATGGCCTTTTTTCAGTTTAACAGTTATTAAGGTCAGTGGTTCTTTGAGTTTACTCATTTTCTAGTTTCTGTGATGTAATTTCTGATCCAAACACTTGTTGATCTTTATTGCCCTTATGTTAAAGGACACATATGCTGTTTTCAAAGCCTTCTTTTTCACATTTAAATCATTCAATTGGGGTCTATATAAAGACGAACTGTAATGCTTTGGTCTGAAATCCTCCTTACTGTAACTCCACAAGCCCTAAGTCCCAAGTCTCAGATCAACTTGTTTTGATGCTGTCTCTTTAACAGGGTTCCTACTGCTTAAGGAAAGTTAAATTTAAGACTTGTTTAATGCCACTTGAAATTTAATTTAAGACCAACTTCACAATAAACACAAACAGAAATAAAAACAGTTTGTGACAATTTTATCCAAATGTTTATTTTAACACAAAGCATGTAGCTGTGAGAGGCATTCAGTAAATTATTTAAAAAAATAAATAAAGGTTACCAATTATTTTAATATTTAAGATAATGTACAACATCCTACTTACAATGTGGTACTGAACTGAACTTATAGAGCGCTTTTCAAGTCCCTCCGGACCCCAAAGCTCTTTACACTAACAGACATTCACCCATTCACACTCACATTCACACACTGATGATGGCAAACTACACTGTAGCCACAGCTGCCCTGGGGCWCACTGACAGAGGTGGGGCTGCCATGRATCGGCGCCACCGGACCCTCTGARRARCATCYGRAGGCAAGGTGGGTGAAGTGTCTTGCCCAAGGACACAACGACTGAGACGGCTGGATGGGGGATCGAACCAGTGACCTTCTGGTTCCAGGACGACTCCAGGACGACTCCCCTAACCACTCCGCCACATGTGTTAACATTTTTAAGACCACTGAAAGACTGATTTAGACTTTTTAAGGCTAATTAAGGCCTTATTTTTGATTGGTAAATTCAAAGCCTACAAGGTGCTTCACACCCGGCCCCCCTCCAGCTTCAGAGCAATCAATTCTAGTTTTATAGAGGAGTTTATGTCTATACAGTGCTGCAGAAATATTTTATTTATGAATTAAATAAAATATGTCAAGGGAAGACTTGTCCATCCAGCCTTACATGTTAAAGCCAGAGTCGCAGAGCCAGAGGAGAATGAAGAATGACCAGATTGTAATTGGTAAAACCAAACCTTATTCAGAAGTTCTGTCGCAAACACTGTGATGTAATAGTTCAGAAAACATCATAGAAAATAGAGAAAACTAAACAAGTTAAAAAATAAGACCCAAACAGAACATAAAGATATTTAAGCAACACCAGGTGACACTAAATTCAAGTTCCCTGCACTTGTAGACTCCAAATACAACAAAATGCATTTAATATCTTAAAAAGTGGATTTTGCATGATACATCCCCTTTAATATCCCTYTGTCATTTCTCATCTCATCGCCACCTTCAGTCAACTTCCTTTGTCATTCTCAGTCAGCCAGCCCCCCTCACCTGTTCCCAGTCTTCAATTAGGTCAGCTGTTACCTTGTTACCTCTGCTCCATATAACCAGTTTCCTGCCATCAACACTTCAGCAGATTATTGTATGCCTTTTCCATCAGGTCTTGAGTGCGCTCCTGTTTTGTTTATCCTTTTTCTGTAGGCTTTGATGCTTTATATATACG